CCACCCACACCTTTCAGTAGACACACCTAAGACACCTTCCCCGTACACACTGCATATGTCCCGAGCGGTTTCGGCTGCTTTTTTGACCTCGACGAGAAGCAAAGAAAAGCAGATGTCGAACATGCTAATTTCTTCTTCCTGGATATTCCATTTCTGAGCCCGAAAAAAGACGAACAATTTAATTATCCTAAAAACGAATAAAAAGTTCTGTAGAGGAGAAAGAGCTCTTTCAAATGAATGTGTACACCTTGCTAAAAAACAAAATAACTCGTTGTAAAATAACTCTAACGCAAAACTCTACGAACTTATGTTACAACCCAATATCTGTACTCATGCAGACCACCTTGAATAAATATTCGACTCTCGCAAAAAAACCTACTATCATATGATTTCGCATGAATAATCTGATTCAGGCCCTTCACTTGAGGCCTCACATTTTTTACTTGTGTTCTCTACTTTATCAGAAGGAAGCTCAAAAAATTTCGGGAGATGTAGACTAACCTAGTCCATCGATATCGAGCTTTTCCATGTTGCGACCGATTCCAGTTGGCGAAAGCGGCACCGGCTCTCGTCCAATAGAGTAACCAGCCATATCTTCTGAACTAGAAATTTCGAAAGAAGAAGGAGAAAGAGCGTCCCCTGAAGGTGTGTCGCCGGGTTCGGCAGGTGTGGTGGCGTCATTGATGGATGGGATAGTGCCATCAGTGGCGGTGGCGGTGAAAGTGGGTGCACTTGTTGTGATATTGGGCTGTGGTCGTATTTCAATTTTTTTCAGTGTTTTCACCTTCTCACCATACAAATGCGGCGGTGCTACATTCATCGGCGGACGACGCTCATTTTCAGGTGGTGGTGGAGGCAAATTGTTTGGATCGAAGAACTCTATCTCTTCCTCAGAAACATGCTCATCATTATCAAACGTTTTTGGTTCGTGATCGATGGTATTATCACTACCAGCAAGGGATTGGTGAGGAACATTGACTGCTTCCGTTGAGTGAACGACTGAAGGGGTGGTTTCAGTCGTGGTGCTGTCCTCACGGGGTGTGCTACTATCGGTAAATGTGGGTGCAATGGTTGATTCTTCTGAGGTGGACTCAACGTGTGATGAAATAGTTGTGCTTATTTGAGGACTATTTGAAGTGGCGGCATCGGTGTCTGTCACACCACTGTCCGTGGTTACAGGGAAAGATGTGGTGGATGAAATTTCGGAAGAATCGGTGACGTCGCCATCAGCCGCTGTAGTTTCGTCAGTGGACTCATTAGGAGGTGAGGTGCTCGTCAAAGACGGTACGCTTGTGCTCTTTTCAGTAGTGGGCAAGTACGTAGTAACGGAACCATCGCCATCGGTCGGCAATGGGTTGGTGGAAGAAAAGTACGAGGTCGAATCTGAACTAGGAGTGCTCGAAAAAGATTCAGTGCTCTCTGAAGTGGACTCTATGCTCACGGCAGTAGCATCTGTAGTTTCGTTTTGGGAGACATTGCTAAAACTACTAGTCTCAGAGGTAGTCGCTTCAGTGGCTGAAAAATGTGCATCCGGTTTTATAGGTGCTTGCTCTGTGATTGAAGTACTTCCTTGCGTAGTACCATAACTAATCTCCACGGTTCCTGTGCTACTTTGTGATTCATCGGCATTGGCAGTGGTGGTGCTTTCTGTGCGAGGTGATGACAATCGTGTTGTGGAAGTACTACCACTATTGGTTCTACTTGCAGTGACTGTTGAGCTCCTGGAAGTCGTGGAAACAGAGTGAGGTGCTTCTGTAGTGCTCACAGGCCGAAGCGTAGTTCTGGAGACGCGCTGGCCTGTGATTGTTGGTGGGCGGTCAGTCCGAAGAAAGTGGAATTCACCGTTCCCATTCTCTTCGGAAACCTCCGTGCTGGAAGTGCTCATCAATCCGTCCATGTGGATGACGGGGACTTTTGCGATCTTCTTACCATGAATCGCTTGAGGTTGGCTAGATCCTTGGGAAGGTGGTGATGGTGGGTGGTAGTGCTCGAACTCAATCGGATCACGAGAGTGAACCTGTGCGACGCCAGCGGCACGACGAGGTATCTCTTCCACGAAATCCTCTTCTTCTTCGTCATCGTCGGATATAATTCCTGGAAAGCTACGAATAGGCTGAATATTGAGTCGAATAGGATGATTAGCCTGATCGGTCAGTGATTGATTAGTGCTGGGTTCTGTGAGTGTGCTGTTAAAGTGCTGCATATATCTTGGGAAATTGTCGTATGGTGAGTCGTGGAATGAGTTGACTTGATTTAGTGTGTGCGTAGGTCTAAATGGTGTGCTGTTAGAAGGTGGTGCATGAAGGAACTTAGGATAATCATTAACGGTGAGTTGTTCAGAAAGTTCTTGTAGCTTACGTGGACGTTTGTCCGGTACACGGACAGGCGGTGCACTAATGACTGTGCCTGCTTCTTTCATGTAAAGCGATTTGTTCATGATGTTCAGAGGATCTTCTGAAGCGAACTGCGTCTTGATTCCAAGCGGTGCAGCGTTTTGAAATTCCTTAGAATGCCGCTGAAAATCGCGGAACATTCTTGTGGGTGGTCCTTCCAACGTAGAGATTTGCATATTTGTGGGCAGATTTTCGAGATCTGGGCGAGGAATACGAACTCCTGGTATTGTGGGTGCGTAGTAGTCCCCATTGTAAAAAATGAATCTGCTGCGATCAATATTTGTGGGGAATTCGATTTCATCGTCATCACTTGCAGGAGAAACTTTACTTCCGAAGCTGCGAAGACCCTTCACTTCATTGGGATTCAGCTGTGCGTTGGCACTTTCCCATCCGCGTTTACTCTCAATCACGTTCTGTTCTACTGATGAAACCATGTTTGATCGGGAACTGATCACCATCCGATTGTTCTCTATGACTCTTTTCGGAAATTCGTTGCGTGATGGTCCGTTTTTGCGGAGCTCGCTTTCTTGGGGGATCGGACGTATTGAACTCGAATGGTGTTGCACATTTTTGATGTCACCTTGTTTGGCAGTAGGCACATTTGACTGGTTTGGAGATGTGTCTTGGGATTGTTCTGCCCAGTTACGATTGAACTGCTGTTCCACTTGATTACTCCCTTGTCGTATAGGTGATTGAGAAGATGTTGGGGACCATGCAGGCCCAACTGGCTCGATAGCTGCTTTTTGGCCAAACTCACTATTTTTCGCTTCAATTATTATTCTTCGAATAGGCTTCACTTCGTTCTGAACCATCAGCAGAGATGGTGCAGAGTCCGCTTTATGGTGGAAGGACAACCGAGCATCAACAGGACTCGTTGGTGACTGGATGGTGGCGGATGTGTGAGATTGTGAACCACCAGCGGAAGAAGGAATTGCTCGATTGTTGAAAAGAGATGAACCCGATTGGCGTACCGGAGTTTCTGCCGTATCCCCTCTATTTAGGGCCATTAGCACATGTTCAGATGTTCTTCTTTCCGAATTCGGGTCAGCCCGCACAGCAAAGTGNGATGCTCCATTTTGATGGTTCTTTGCTCTAGCTGTGGCTGCGCCGTTACTAACATTTGCATCTCCTTCATTAGGAATATTCGTAGATTCGGAAAAATGTTGTGGGCCATCGTCACTAGTGGACCTCACGAAATTGTTTTGCACAGGTGGCTGTAATGGAGGAGATTGAGGCTGATTGGATTGAATGGGGACGGTAGGACGCATTTGCATCTCAGGTGCTAAAGCAGAGAAAGTCTGAGGTGCCATAGCTCGTGCTTGTTGATCCCTAAAAGGATAGGGTTCCCAGCTAGTTCTCATTGGTGGTAATTGTCTTGTAAAAGGCACACTATTCATGGCGAATTGCCGTCTGTTTCCACCAAGATGCTGCGAGTTGTAGGTGAAATAGGTAGGATCGACAGGTGGGGATAGTCCCGCTAGGTTGTTGTTTTGCTGAGGATTGTAATTTTCTATTGAAATCGTTCTGTAAATATGCGGGTGAGTAGCGACGGACTGCTGTCGAGGCAATTGAGGCTTTTCCAAAATTTTCAGAGGAGGGAGCTCTTTTGAAGACCGATCTTCTTCTAGAACGGCATTGACCTGATGATCACGTTCTGTGACAACAGTTCGCGCTGTTGTTTTTTGAACAGCCTCCGGCGGTACGGTGTCCGCACGTGGCTGAATATTTTCCTTCAATGGTTCTAGAGGTCTCACTTGAATTGTTTCCGTTCCTGAGTTTCTTCCAGTTGATGTGGGACGACTTTGACTTGGGGCGTGTGACAAGTGTGCAGGCTTTGAAGTGAAGCGCTCCTCTGGAGTCTGCTGGACTTTGCTTGCTGTGGAACGAGGATGAGGATTTGTAACCGCTTGTGGTTGGCTGCGTTCTGTGGAGGTCGAAAAGGTGCTTGGTAAACGTTCTGTTGTTGGGTTTCTAGATTCTCCCAGATTCTGTCGCTGCCTCGTTATCGAAAAGCGCGTGGTCGCTTCCGTTCTTGTTTCTGAATGAATTCTTTCTCGGATGGTGGTAGGAGGCGTAGTTGATGAAGGCACTGTCTTGGGAGTGGGAATGGTTGTTTTCACAGTGGGTTCTAGATGTCTTCTGGTTGTGGAACGAGCGGTCTCTTTAGCAACTGACCCTGTAGGCCTTTGTTCTCTGTGTATAAAATTGGTGATGGATGGGGACACTGAAGATGACTTTCTATGTTCTTCCACATTCCTTTGCTGTTCAGCCGTCACACGACCAGTGGCTGCTTGAACAACTTCTTCAACTTTGACGTGTTCTCTCTGAAGTGTAGGTGGCCTTTGTCGGTCTTGACTATCGTTGCCAAGTTCAGGATGTCGATTCAGATCGATTCCCCATGCTTCATATGTCTCAGGATAGTACGTGGTCGTGACCAAAGATGAAAGCTTGTTGTTGTCCGGGGCAATGTTGGGTAGTGCGTGCGCACGAACACTCGGCGGTAAATCAAACGGCAGTGAGGCCGCATCTAGTGGACGGTTGGTTTTTGCTGACTGAGACACCACTGGCGAGAATAAGTTTCGATCTACTTGTATGTTACGTTTGGTTGTTGCTGTTGTTGTTGTTATTGTTGTTGTTGTTACGATTTTAGCAAGCATAGCTGGTGGCTGGCTGAGCGGTACTCGTTGACGTTCTTCCTTGCGATCATCGAAGTGCACTGCGGATGACAGCTTTGAATCCGGATCAGCAGCGTTTTCATTCTCATGCACATGCAACGGAGTACTGGGTACCGACGGTACCCGATCTAAAATAAGTCTTCGGTGAGGCGCGGTAACAAGGTAATTCGTCAAAGCGACGGCATGCAAAGCTAAGTAAGTGCAGTGCGGGATAAATCACCCAGTAGTCAAGCGTGAATGGGTGAACTTGGCCAGTGCAAATACCAAGCGTGATTGAACTTATCTGGGTGACAGCTGTTAGAAGTGACTCTTCAACACACCTGCACATTAAAAGGCGGTGATCACAAGGTGAGTGTGCATGAGTATCCCTTGTGCAGATAAGTGAAAGGCAAACCACTGAACGTTCAAAACCCTTACAACCCAAAGGAAAACACTGCAAAGGGTGCAAATCATGCGCTGAGTTGTGGCATTTGTTAAAATGGTGAGTTCGGTGTCTGCACACCCTTTGCAGAAAAAGAATGGATATAAAATAATAATGGGAAGGGAAACTTACGTAAGAAGCGGGCGCAATGGATTTCGCACTCGTTCTGCGAGAAGAAGTGGTTACGGTTGCCCGCACAGCCACCATACTTGAATGGATGGCAAGTACCGTCTTCACCGTTGAAGAACCAACGATCGACAAAGTGTTTACATGGACCGGGCTCCTGAAACGTTCCATTTTATTTGTAATATTGGTAGTACCCGAAATTGGATTCAGCATAGTAATAGCACCGAATGAAAATAGTGCCACCCCATAAAATGATGACCCGACGCCAAGTCCGATCACCAAAAAAATTCTTCTGTACTACTCTACACTACTTGATCCGAGCAACTGGGTAAAACTTCATTAAAATCTTCCAAGCATGTTTTGTGAGACTTTCAGACCCCCTTTTTTCATTTACACATAGCACTTCCTCCTCCTTTTTGGGGACCCCAAACTGTTAAACACGGGAAAGTCCATTTATTCTTCCTATCATATTATCAGCTACTGGGTCTCGCTCGTTCTTCTTCTCTGCATACATACTTGCTTCTACTGGGGCAACCATTGTCGCTCCCAATTTTTTGCGTTGCTCCCTCATCCTTTTGGGAGACATACAGAACACAATGGGTTCGACTCCAATGAGAACACATTTTCTGTTGAAGAAATAATGGAGAAGAAATCCTGGGGCGCACAGAAATCGTTCCAGCTAAGTTGTTCTACCTAGTTTTCTTCTACATAAAACATAGATCATTTTCCGTAATTAGGAAAGGGATCACAACTGTCTATGTTCTGTCGTTTGAAGAATAATTTTAGTGTTTGCCGACAAACCCTCAATGAAGACTTGTCACCCTACCCTTTCAATCCTTACTCGCTACCCCCAGTGTTGGTGGATTGTTCGCAGGCTCCCTTAAATATGGGCACTCCTTATCCTCTCTCTTGAAGCTGAGAAGAATGATTAACTATTTAACAAGTTTCCGATTATCATCTGATGGAATGAGTTGGGATGTCTCCCAAGAACAAGAATGAGAATGACTGGGATGATCTGGAAAATCGAGTAAACCGTATTAATGCGTATTACGCTTTTGGAATATCTTAAATCATGAAATGGTCCTCTGTTAGAGGCAGCAATTTAGGTCTATGGGTACCTTGCCTATCCCAAGCTGGAGACGTTCGTAAAGCTAAAATACAATTCAAATTGAGTGCAGAATGTTTTGCAGAGTGGGAAGAGGGAATCCACGGGTCTCTCTAAAGCTCGCTAGCTGTGGGAATGAATAGATGTTTGATGGTCCAGAACTAAATTAGGGATCCTGAGGTCGAATGGGGTGCGGAATGCCATGTAGGGTGAGATGAGGGACCCACGCCAGTACTCTGAAGCTCACTATCTGTCGTAATGAATGTGTTGTTTAATGGTCCAGATCTATCTAGGGGTTCTGGGGAGCATGCTTGTGAAGTGTTATCAAAAGCTCATTTTAGACTACTCTTATAGGACTTCTCAAGTGAGTATAGACAAATGAATGAAAATGAAAAGAAGGGAAGAGCACTAGAGATACAATGTAGACTAACCACTGGTTGCATGCATTTCTCCTGCAGGTGAGCTGACAACGGTGGTGGAAGCAATTGCTTTGAGCCGATCTCTACCTGCTTGGACTGCGAAGACTGAACTGTAGGGACGGATTCTGTAACGTAAGAGAAATTTACGATTCATTTTTCCGGCCACCACTCGTGGAAAATCAAAGCTCCATAGTGCACTTCGGAACTTGCAGCATGGGGTGCATGAAGAGGAAACCATATTCGAGCATGATATTACCTTGACGTCGAGGAATATGTCCAGTGATAGTTCCCGGAGGCGAACTGCGGTTGGGTGTGGGACCAGAAGGCGGACCAACGCTAGTGGGTGCTGAAGGCGGACGAGCGGAAATGTGGTTCGCACGAACTGTTGGTGTTACTGGGCGGGATGTCGATGGCGCTATTGGTGACGCGTCTTGATCCTCGAACGACGCGGGTGGCTGGCCGATTGAGCCCGATAGAGAGGGACATACGCAATCCTGAAAATGACCATGTAACAGAAGGTGATTTATGCTTCACAACTTCTTCAGAGGCTAGAGAATTTATGAAAAGCAAAGGCGTACCTTGCAGCCTTTCCTATTGTTAATGATGATACAGGGCTCTTTACAGGTGTCCACGTTCACTTCTGGACACTGGAGCGCACCTAAATAAGAATCAGCCATTTCCGTAGTTTAACACTCCTGGAAATGCGGCACAAAGAATTAGGAATGAACTCAGTGCAGGGACCTAAGATTGGAAGCTGTTCCCGCGATTAGCCAATTTGGAAAGTACACTCAACATACATGCCAGGACGCCTTGCAAGCTAGCAAGCAAAAAAACTAAGCCATCTTTTATTTTCTTATCTCCATCAGACAGGTCAACGCTGCCTTATTTGTATTGTTTCGTGATCGTTTTGTGGCAATGTTGGCATGTTCCAATCACTGAGAATCTTTCGTTATATGCTCTTCTCCCTGTCAGATAATGGGAGGGGTCTCAAAAGTAGTCGTGCACTGGGGAAGTAGGAAAACCAGAGACAGAACAGAGGAAATTAATGTACCTGGTGGTGAAGGCTGACTAGTCGGTGGACAGCTGCAGAACGGGCACCCGTTCCGATCATTAACAATTTGACATCGAGTCAAGTCGCACTGCGGATTTGGATTGCATACCTTCCTGATGCAGACATTTCGACACTCTTGGATTGTAGCGAAGTTGTTTCCGTTGCCTGCAATGACATGGGTTTGGCTCGATTCAAGCCGTTATCTTATAATGGCCTCGGTGTAGTGGCCATACGTACCTCCACAACCTCCGTAGGTGAATTGGCGACAGTCATTAGTAGACTTGTCGTAGCCGAATCTCACGAAAACTCCGCTGCACTCGCCAACCTCGATGTCATGTTCACACAGATTGCCAGGAGACAGGGCAACTGAAATTTGTGGAGCCTGGTTGAGGGAGATTTGTAATTTTCCTTTCATGACTTCTGGATGGAAGCCGACTTTCTCATTTTTATGATTAAGCGATATGGATATCGCGAGTGTTGCTCATCTGATACAAATCAGGTCCAAGCGAAAGTACCTTTTTGACATTTGATACGACACTCGGCAAGAGTTGCGAAATTGTTTCCGTTGCCTCCGCAGCCACCATAAGTGAACGGACGGCATTCACCAGACTCAGTATCGAAAGCGAATCTCTGCAGAAATAACGAATTTGTATATTAAGGGGGTGGAAGCAAGAAAGCCCCCTGAGCGTCTTCCTCACCTGAAATACACCATTGCATTCACCCGCGTCGACGTCGTGCTTGCATACATTAGAAAAGTCATGGGCGACGACTGGAGTGGCTGAAACAGGGCCGATGCTCATATTACAGATCTGAGGGATCGCAGACGACTGACTGGGCGGCTGGTGCATAATGCCCTCATACGTGTATTTTCCCATGTCTCTCCTCATAAGTAACCCAGTACCGTGCAGTTCCACAAGACCACTGGTACCCGAGATTCGAGAAACTTCTCTTTTAGGAAGCTTCCCATGGCCCATTCCTTCGCAAAGGTCGCGCAATTTCTGTAGAGACATTCAACCAGCTATCGAACAAAAAATAGGTAAATTTCTGGCAATGTTAACTAGATTCCAACAAAATCCGGACTAATCTACTGAGTGGAGGAGAAAATTGATTCCGATTTCGAATTACGCCTAAAACCTACCTTCCTTGTGGCAGATCGCCAAGCATTCCTCCCTGCTTGCGTAGTTGTTGCCATTTCCTTGACATCCGGTATACGTGAACACGTCGCAGGTCTTGAAATGAACGCTCATTGTGACCACAAATTATATATGATATAGTTAAATGTATGCTTTATAAGTAGGGTTGTTCGAAAAGCGACCGGAACCTTTTGAAACAATTTTCTTTCAAGATTGTTTTGAAAGGTTTTTAAATGTTTGGACGTTTTTTGTTGGAAATACATGTATTATCGGAATTTATGTGTTTTCCTTTCAAAAAAAGTGAACAAATTCTATTTCATTTCGCATTTCTAAGATCAGTACGTAAATGGAGCGCTAAAGAAACATTTTCGGTCTGCTTGCTTTTTTCGCATCCATGGAAATCGTTTATGAGAATGTCAAAAGGCTTGGCCTAATAAAAAAGCTAGATGTTCAGTGCCACATGTGAGAAGGAGATTCGTTTGACAGCGCGAGTTATTGTCTACGTTTTGCTCTTCAAACGCAGTGAACCCGACCCATTTGGGAGCAGCTATTTGTTGATGATAAAAGCCGGAATGCTTACAATGATGTTGCTCTCAAACAATCAAAGTCATCAAAGATTAAACTGATCAAAGAAGTGCGAAGCTGGCGTTCATCAAGAGAGGGTCATGCTATTAGTTTGGTAGGGTTCCAAGGGTGGGGTATACTTCAAGGTGCTCTTGAGGATTCAGGATGATAATGCGGACCTCTACTTATCAAAATTATATGAAGCAAAAAAATTCAGCCAAATTTATCGAGGCACAGAATGGTGACGTTTCCTTTACCACGGANAGCGCTCAAAGTCTGCTTGGTCAAAGCCTCGAAAGATATGTCAGTTGAAATGCGCAGTTTCCCATCAGTCAGTTTATCAGGGGCAGTGATAGTGCTCTCGTCCCTAAAGACGAGGGTCGAGGGTCTGCCCCTTACCGCCGTGGCAGTTTTTGTAGAGCATACTGTCTTTCCAATAAAAGCTCTGATAACGTTTTCTGATATGCGGTCGTTGTTATTATGTGAGGCGGGAAGTTTCTGTACGTGGATGCTTTAAGTCTTCCTACGCGCCTGTCATCATTATCATTCTTTCATCAATATACCCTGCTTTGTACCAAGAGCATTTTAAAACATTGGCAAACGAGTGGCACAATTTAGCCGCTTATGGTAAAATCTTAAGTATATTGCCTCGCTGTGACATATTGAAGTCCGCATTGTTTACCATTGCTCAAGTCGAGCGCTAGTAGCGGTAGTATCTAATTTGCAAAAACGTTTCGCTTTTCACTGTCGTACCTTTCTTTCGTTGTCCCAGTACCATCGAATGAATTGTCCACGGCAGGTTCCAGGATCTTTCGGGTGCAGACAACGGTTTACTGGAAGTAAAACTATTCAATTTGATGACTACTGTGTCGTCACTGGCAAGTCTTTTGATTACTGCCAGCACCGGTTAGCTTCAGCGCAGATGGAAGAAAAAGCATGAACATCAAATGCTAGCAATGGAATGGTTAAGGGTATTTCTCATAAAGCAACTAGATCACCCAGCCACACCCGATCATGATTGTGATAACTTGCCGATTATAATTTCTACTTCCTATTTCTACATGGCTCAGCAACAATATGATATGAAGTTGCAAATGATAAAGCAGCAATTGACCCAAGTAGGCAGCATCGGTTAGATTTGATAAAGGGGAAAGGTAGACTTCGAAGGTGCCTTCCCCATTAGACACCATTAGGCATTTTAAACAGCTCAGGCCCCAAAAACACTGCTTACAAACCATCACTGTCTCTTGTAGAAGAAATCGCCAAATAGTTGGCTAAAAGGTCCGCAGCATGCGTGTTCTGAAAACTCATAGTTTCGTTTGCTGGAAATTTATAACTCTCGTTGCTCTGGGGCTGGTACTTCCAAACTGTGAAGAGATTTGTGGGAGATAACTCAACTGTGGGTGTGAGGTGGCGGTAACTTTTCATAAGGAGAACAAAAGGTGTCACGAGTCATGGATATTTCTGCCTTAAAGGCGCAATCAGATAAAAATGGTTTCTAAGATTCCCTCTTAGGACTAGCTAGTGGCCCCCAAGGGGAACAAAAAGGACGTCAGGCAGAGAAACTCATTGTCAGTAGGTAGGGCATAATAGGAGCCTCTCTACCGGAATCGTCGACGTCTATGCTCATCGACAGATGATATGTCAGAAGAGTTGCCGAGGCGATACAGGTTGCGCTGTTCGCGCCAGGATCCACACTTCAGCATCCAATCAGCTGATCGCCGAGTGGTGAGGGGATGTCCGGGGTGAGGTTGGTGGAAATTATCTTTCTTTCGGATCCACTTGATGCTTAGATGCATGAGAATGTCCACAATGCACCAGAATAGTAAGAAAGGATCAGCGGATATCAAACAAGCTGTACACAATTGCAGACATTGCGAACGGCTTTTCCAAATACCTCTTGGGGGGTATCGCAGGAATTGTTTGAATCATCGTGTATTTCGCCGCGCGCACCCGGAATCGCACGAATCGAACGTCCCCCTACCTCTTCGACGCCATTTTTCCATCACATTCTCGTTCAACCCCTATTTTACTAATTTTTTGAAGCCTTGTATTTTTGTAAATACGTCGTTTTTCGTGTTCCCTTCGTAATCTTTGCACTATTCTGGACTGTTTTCATCATCCATCAAAAACAGGATACCCCAAAATTATCGTGAACCTTTAAACCTTCAAAGGTGGATTCAGATTTCCGGCAAAGTCAGACAGGGATAAGCAGGGCGATCTAACCGGTTAGAGGTCAAGAAGGAATACTGGCCATACATTCATGGTAGTTGCTAAAGCGAAAATCCATTAGAAAAATAAAATCAACTCAGTAAATTCAGTACGTGCAGTGTATCAAAAGCATGCGTGTGGTCAGAGTTATACATGTGTTAAAAAAGCAAGATTACCGCTATTGGCCGAGTTGTCCTCACTACCTTCCAGCAGTGCCATTTGAGGGATAGGTGGAGCACGAGTCGGAGCCACATGCACGGTTGCGGGGATTGTTGGATCTGATTTGATGTTTTCCGATGTCACCAAAGATTCAAATGCGGATTTCGGTTCGGGAGTAAAAACTCTCCCAGGTGCTGTTGCCGCGATGGGTGGAGAAGTCACTGTTGTTGAACTAAAAAAGGCTTGTAGCTTTTCACTTTGTATGTTTATCAGTAGAGAGACTGTTTAGGTATCAAACATTCTACAACTTGTATATACCCATGATGAGAATTCCAATCGTAGCAATTAGTAACGGAAGCGGAGATGATGTAGTGGTAAGTGGTACTTTACCCCACCCACGACCCAGCCATCGAATCCCGTATCAACACTAGCACTGGTCCACAAAGCCTTTCACTTCACCGGTCTAGGATACTATGTACCAGATGAGCGGGGAGTAAAAAAGCAATGAATTCTACATCGGTTGGCCCAGCAAAACATTGTTCAGAACACCACTACGATTTTGAAAGCCAACTAAGGAGGCACTTTTGAAAAATGGTTGGATCGGTTGTTCTCCTGTATATGAAACCATTCATCAGCGCCTAATAAGGTACTTTAATCGGAGTTCTGAGATGTTGAACTCGCTCAATTCTTGGACATCCCTAGGAAGCTAGTGTATTTCAACGGTGGTCAATGAACCGCCACTGTTCACATTGTCTTCGAATCCTTTCGCAACCTCATTAGATATAAGAACTTGATACCATATAAACATACCTTTCTACCACGGAGCCGTCGTCATTTTTAGAGAGATTTCCGGGAGTGATACGTATCCCCTGAGTAGTTCGAAATGGTAAACGTTGGTTCTGCGTGCTAGGGAGAGGAGTCGTTGGGATGCTGTCTTTCGCTGGAACGTCTTCTCTTATGCTTTTGTTTATAAATGAAAAACGGAATGATAAAAATTGAAAAAGATAGTAATCGGACCTTTCGCAATGCCGCAAGTCGCCTCGCAGTCCTCGACCTTCTCAAAATTGTTTTTGTTGCCTTGACATCCGCCCCAGAAGAAGTATTTGCACTCCTTAATATCGGAATTCACCGAAAGCCAAGCAGTTATCAAAAAATATCAGACAGTGAAGGAACTAAAAGAAACCGCGGGAAGCCCACGTAGGGATCATTTTAGCCACGTTTGACTCACAAGACTACACAAGTACAAGTGGTATAGGTACAGTACAAGTAAAATGAGTGCTAGGGTGAGCTCCCGCTTGCTGATGCAGCTGCAATTTCGTCGTTATTACTGTTTCCTGCTGCCCGGGTCATGTTCTATGGAGTCGATTTTCTGTCTAACTTGTTTAGTGCGTTCAATTGCAAAATTCTACTCCCGAGTTGATTGCAATTTGAAAATGGAACCTCCCCAAGCAAAGGAGCCTCTACAGTGAACGACTTCTTCTATGCAGTCACTGCCCTTACCGCCAAACTAATACATATTCATGGAGGTTTTGTGTACGTCATATACAGCAGACGAATGAGGTTTTCTTCGTTTCCAAACGATCGCTTTTTACCACCTGAACTTGCAGTGCTAGCCATGCTTTCCTCATCATTAAAGTGCGCTACAATGGTAAACACGATAAAGTTAGCGATATCAGCCCCTTGTGAGAAGAAAAAACATCATTCCTGCCAAATCAGGATTTCTCGACAGCATGGCAGCATAGGGAATTATCTGATAGCTTTACGGCACAAAGACATGGAATACGCTCAAACGTTGTTCACATTTGGCATAGAAATAGAATAGAAATAACTAATAACCTTTAGCTCAGCATTGTAGTAGAAACGCAGTTCATACTTATCGCATGGCCCTCGTTCCTTGGGTAATGAGCATACGTCTGCAGATCCAGATGTCTGGAGACCAACTGAAATAACTTTGAGTTCAAGCAAAAAATGTATGGGTGATGATTTGATGACCAGATTGCTTCAGTGACTGATATGGCCCCTCGGATTAGGAGAATGCAGCAGCAAGATTTCCTTGCTCCAGCAGTTATCTATTCACAAGAGTTATAGAACTAGACTAAGTACAAGTTGGAACAGGTTTGCGTCGAAGGCGTTATTAGATGCTATAAATGCACTGGGGTATTTTTTGAAGGGCGCAATGAGCACCAAGGGAGTATAGATGTCATCTAATGGCTTCGAGGAAAGCATCAACCTGCTACGAACCGAAATTCTAGAAAACTGCTCACAAAAAATGGATTAAAACTTATTCTCGTAAGACTTCTCGACGCATAGGCTAGCCCGAAAAGAAATGGTTGCGTGGCTCTCGAATAGATAGATACTTACGAACTGATTTGATATTAGACAGTTCGAAGCTATTTTCAGCAATAACCTACTGGAACCTATAAATATTCTCCCGAAACATATGATAAATGCCATTATTATTACCAAACGAATTGGTTTTGCTCTTATGAGATGATTTGGTGTTTTTTAGCCCTGAGAACATGAGAATATTACTTCTTTTGACACTAACCTATACTCATAAGCACTAATGTAATTTTTTGGTTACCCATAATTCCACCTCGAAAATGATCTTGAAGCAGTAGCCTTTACCGAAAATTCTTATGAACATACTGATTTTATTGTTCTCAGGACAGCAAACACTAGTCTGCTGGACGACGCTGCACTTGTAGCCATATGGACAGTCTGACTTGGCACAGTTCACTGGTACTCCTAATTTCGTCTTCAGTGGTTCGCCCTGAAAGCCTCGGCATATTCTTTGAAGAAGAAATCAAAGAAAGGATTCTATGTTCAGGAACGAGTTTTCTCAGAATTGGAAACGCTCCTATAAAGATATTCTCAAAAAGCCTCCTATGAGTTCGCTCCTAATGAGCTACGGACGTCATTGAACATTTTCCCGGAATAACTCCAACCAAAAGCAATCTCACTTTCCGTTATTAATACATGCTAAACACTTTCGAAGAACAAAGGGGAAATGTCAGGGCAACAGTATGTGCTTTGAAACCCTAGACCTGCTTAAGGCCATTACATCGACTTGAATATAACTAAAGCGGTCTTCTTGTGGGCTTACAAGCGGAATGATTGCTGCTGCTTTTTGAGGTTCTGCTTTCATTGACCACTACTATTACCTCAAATGCATACGTCGGCAAACCTTGAAGGCACAGTTTACAGTGAGTATGGTCCCCGAGATTTCCCCTCAGAATGAATCTGTGGCCCCTCTGTACAACTTGTGTTGTTTTCACATCAAAAACTGCTCAAATCGGGGTAGTGAGGGCTCAAATATTGTGTCGGTTGTATATTACACCGAAGGCGGACGAGTACTAACGGCATAGGAGAACCTGCACCGTTCACGAGGGACATCCATGTAGGAAGCTCAAACAAATTGCCATGACCCATGGCGACAGTGAAAAGGTCTTTTAGACATCTTTGGCTTGATGTAGTCATCTCTTTGCGCAAATACTACAACTGAAATCTCGTCCAAATACCCCTTCCATGCCATTTCCTCAAATGAACTCCTACAACCCCTATTTCAACTACTTTTAGAAAGCCTTTTTATCGCGAAATCGACGGGTTGTTTCGCTTTCTTCGCACCGACGCATTATTCAAACCGAAACGTCCGATTTTCGACTTAAAAAGGGTACCTCAAAACTATCGTGAACTGAGCATTCAAGCGAAATTGCGGTGGTTATAGTGCAGTACACTGCATCGGTTGGGAAGAAAGCGATAAAATTGGCTGATTTTGAGAAATGCAAGGCCTCAAAAAGGTAATAAAGAAGACGGTTGTACCAGATTATGTGCCTGAAGGTATGGGTGTCTCCCGCTCGAGCGTGTTCTTCGTCGGCTTCTAACGCTTCATTGTGAATGGCCTTTCTTAAAAAGCCGACATAGCACGGCCTTTTTCCTTGCGTACGTTGGACAAGCCGGTTTTTGAGCATCTATAACGCTCGGTCGTTTCTCGGCACGACAGTGTCCCGCGTGCTATCCTTGGGGAGCCACAGGTTCACCTGAGAG